CAGCATAAGGGGCGTTTATGGTATCCGTATTTGTGTAGAGAAAGGCTTGAGAGTCTAGCATTTGTGAAACTGAAGAATCAACAGTTATTGAGGTCACCATGCCCTCGTTCCCATTCCAGGTAGAGTTTTGGAGCATGGAGTTGGTTGAGCCTTGAGACGAGAACATGGCGACCCCTTTAGATGCGTCTCTTAGTTTAAGAAAGCAGCTTTGCAAAGTATATGATGAGCCAAGAATTTCAGACGAACGCTTTAGTAGCAAGTCGTCGCTGTACGTTTGTTGCGTAATTATCGTATTATATTTCGTAGTGCGTCGTCGTTGTCGTTAGGGAACGGGTTTGGGGCAATATTTACAGCGCTTGCTATTTTTTTTTTTCCCAGGGCTTACTTTCTTTATATTATGTTCACAGCCGCAAAATGTGGTTGTTTCTCATTGGTTTCCATGTCACCAGTCACGTGAGATATAGAATGCCCCAATACAGTAGTGTGACGATACCAGCCGCATGCCGCATGCCATTGCATGGAGATACCTATTTACCCAAAATTTGTGCGTAAGCATCGAATAATTTATTGTCACGTCAACGTTATGACAAAGCAAAATTCGTTGCATGAACACAAGTTCGCTTGTTAGATTGATAAAGGAGAATATCTCTTGGTAGTCGTTCTATATGGGCACAGATTCCCTTTTTGGGTAATGTTGGGGAGGTCGTCTGTTACAAATGCGTCTAAACAAACGACCTTTGTACAACATCTATATGTAACTCCAGTTATCTCTTAAATGAATGAGAAATTTGTCACATTCTGATTGACCGAGAAACGTTCGTGAATTATGCAATCTGTTATTAATCGACCAGGTGAGCTTGCTAGTGAGGACGATGAGCTCATTAATATAGTAATAGAGATGAGATGTAAATGTGACCGCAATTACATTTTATATTTCAGGCATCTTGAATGACATGAAAATATTTGGCATATTCTGATTGACCGAGAGACGTTTGTCCAAGTATGCAATTTGTGATTAATCAATCAGAAGTGAGCTAATGGATAGCTAGTGAGGACGATAGGCTTGTCGTGCAAGTATCGGCGGCAATTTTGTTTGAATCAGCCCGCAAAAGCAAGAAGAGCAAATGTTACATTGGACGAAATAGCGTGCCTAGAACACTCCATCTGTCATTTAGAATAACAATGACGATGGGTTCGTCAGGTGGATATACCAGATCAAATAATGTAATGAACTCATAATATTGAGCCGTTGACGTTCTTATTGATTATGCAAACGATTGTTTCATTTGTATGCGGAAGCGGATTAGCACCAAAAATAAAGTGATTACGTATTTCACATTGAAGATTAACATGTTCCGAAGGGAAGTTGGCAATGCCCAGTATTGGAATTAATGAAGATTTTGGTTAGGCTGGGGATAGGATCAAGTCTCTGCTGGTCAATAATCGTATTGACGACAATCGCTGAAGCGAGCTAGAGGAGAAAAGAAATCTGGTACATGTAAGTGTCACTTGTTCGACTATTGCCATATAACAACTCTGTGGAAACGATAATTTATTCGAAGCTTTAGTTCTCATAATGGTCTTATCCGTAATAGGAGTGTTAGCTCAAATTTTTCAAGACCGCCACTTGGGGTAATATGAGTATAGGGAACGATTGTGTATATCACAGAGAAGTAGGGCCACGTCTGCTCAATCTAGTCATCGACTCCAGCGAAGCGTATACTCATCTTCATCTATCCGAAAACGGTGGAATAGACAACCGTCACGCCGGGCTAAGTT